AAAAAAAAAAAAAAAAAAAAAAAAAAAAAAAAAGATTCCCTCTCCTGGAGCAGGATGTGGCCCCACGCCCTTCCCCGTCCTCCTCGGCTTTCTCAAAGGAGAATCGAAGGACCAGTGGCTCTGGACACATCACCACTGTAGGAGAACTACAGAACTCAGCGGCATACAACTCAAATGCACTTTTAAAGGTCCTACTTTAGACCACTAGTTATTGGTTTCTCAGGCAAGTATTTTCTTTACCCCGACTCCCATCCTTCCTCAAGAAAAAGGAAATAAAGAACATGGCAGAGCAGCACGGCATCAGCAGAGGAGGCTGGCCTTAGAGGGCCCACTCAGTGGTCCACTCTCCCCATGGACTGTCCTGCCTGCAGCCCCCAGCCGCCACCAGCCACCCCAGGCCTAGGAGCTGTCACCCACCTGTTCATACCGGGAAGGTTACCCCAGAAGTAGCGGGCCCTGTGTGCGGCTGACACTTCTTTGGCGTCAATCATCACAGGGTTGGACTATAAAACAGGAGATAGTTTAAAGATGAGCGAAGAAGGAATATTAAATAGTGCTGGTAACTCTGCTGGTTTAGAGCCTCACAGCCTCAAAGGCTCTTCCTTCTCTCTCAGAAGGCCGCACACTGGGACAGTATGAAGCCTCCAGGAAAAGCTGGAATTAAACCTAGCCACATTTTACATGCTCTCACTGGAACATTCTAGACCAGCACTGTCCAGCTGAACTTTCTGCAATGATGGGAACATTCTCTGTCTGCACCGTTCAATACAGTAGCCACCCACTCACTACAGGCAGCTGTCTTTTATATCATATGAGGCCAGTGTGACTGGGGAACTGAATTCTCAATGTTAATCAAAGCGGCCACACATGGCTGATGGCTAACCTCATTGGACAAGCAGCTCTAGACTACCCAGAGGCTTTAAGAAAGCTCTAATGCATGTGGGTGTGTTCACCACACATCCAGATTATATGCTAAATAGACGCCTGCTCACATCTAAAGTCAGAACACCAGCTTGAGGTGTCACTGACCCCAACACTCAGAAGCATGGGCTCAAGCTCCCAGATGCCCCCCACCTCCCAGAACACCTCTGGCAGAAGTCCTCTGTGCATGGCTCAAACCTGGCTCAGGGAGAAGGGGGACTCACATTATAGGGCATACAAACTGAGATAAGCCATGTTTTCTTCTCAGGTGCCATGAAGTATCCACCATGGTGCCAGGGAGTGAGGACGAGCCATTCTGGTCAGGGAAAATTGATCTTGGCACCTGAACGGTCCCCGCAGTGTGAAGGCCACATGGAATCCCTGACCCCAGGAGTCTGGCACCCCACTCTACTTAGTGACAGTCAGGTCCTTCAAGCCCTGATGTCCACACCCACAATACCACCTTAGAGTGAGACCACTGGCTCTTTCCAGGGTGGGCCTCTACCACTGTTTCCTCCCTTTCTATTTGGGAAGGCTGGAGCTTCCCAAACAGGCCCCTTGCAAAGCAGAAGTCACCAGTCCCCAGCTCCACAATGCAGATGAGACAGGGATAAAGCAGCAGTCCCAGGTAGAAGCCATTAGTGAGCTGGCCAAACCAAGGTTGCTGGCTATACCTCGAGAAATCGTGAGATGTCCCTCTTGTCACTAACGCCCATGGCCACCACATTCTCAAAGAGCCAGAAGAAGGGGCGATCATCTCCCTCCTTGGGCCGCGCATCATGCAGGAGGCGGTAGAACTCAAAGAAGAGCCGGCCAGTGCCCTCTGAGAGGTCGGAAGAGAAAGCCATCAGCTGGGGCTGTCTGCGTAAGACAGTGGTGTGGCTCGGGCACAGGGAGGGCAAGGGAAGACAGGATTGTTGGGAATAGCTGTCCCAGGGCAGCAATATCCAAGTGCGGAAGCACCAGCTCAGAAGGTGGCAGGGGTGAGGACAGCACCTACCGTAGAGTCCCTTGCGGGCAGGGTTGACGATGGAGAGATCGTTGCAGGGACTTCCCCCAATCACCAGATCGAATGGGCCCCACTCCTGGATCTGGGAGGATAAAGGTAGTGTGATGGGCCTGCTGTGCAGGGACAGAGGCACAAGGGAAGAGAGAAAATGATCTGTGAACTTCGCAAAAAAAAGTCCTCTGGCACAGGAGAGAGGGGACCCACCTGCTCTACCCTCACTGTGCAGCCACCTGCAAATCACTGAGACTCTCTGGGCTCAGCTTCCTAAACGATAAGTGAGCAGACCCAACTGGATCATCTCTGAGGCCAGCAGGGAAGCCAGTGTGTGCCAAGTAGGAAAAGCAGCTGCTCAGTGGGGCAAAGCAGTCCAGGCAGTACTTTATGCTTGGAGCACTTTAGGTAGGGTGTCTGGGTCATCTGAATATCCCCCAAATGCCCTTCAGGATTCCAGAGCTTGTAGACCCAGATAAATGGAAGGGCAAGACCGTGCCATAGAGCCCCCCAGAAATGGAGGCTGGCAAAGCTATTCACCAAAGGCACTGGGAGGACAGGAACCATGCTCCAATCCAAAGCACTCTACTAAAAAGGGTGCCCAGGGAATAGCCAGAGTCTAAAAAGGCAAGCTCCCAAATTCCCATTTTTAATTTGCCTACTACCATTACCTTCAACACAGAGGAAAATTGGAAGGTAAGGAGGAAGAGAGGCTGGGGGAAAGGGTGAAAAGGAAAAGAGCAAATTAACAAAATGAAAGGGGGGGCTGCCTCCAGGAGCTGAGTGTGCGGGGGAAGAAGGCTGGCCACCTCCCACAGCGCCGACATACATGCTTCTGCGTGACGCTGCGGACGTCCCCGACGTACATGATCTTCCCCTGGTGCCGCACCATGCCCACCGTGATGGAGTCCTCGCACACCTCCGAGGCAATGTAGCGGTCCACCTGAATGCCCAAGTCCTTCAGCACCAGGAGCCCTGCGCCAGGTGGCAGAGATCACTGTCATTCAGGGCCATCTCTTCGGCACCACCATCTTAGCAGGTGAGACCTTGGCCCAGCCAGCCACATGGCACCAGCTGCAGGCCAAGCCCCACCCTGCCCATGAAGCTGCCTTAATCCTTTTTCAATCAAACTGGTAGATCAATGCTGAGGCTGTTTCATATTCGTTTGGCCTACTTGAAAGACAGTCAAAGCTGCGGAAGACTGACCAGATCAGTGGTTTCAGCATACAGGGAGAAGAGCAGCTGACTATTTTGGTGGCTTTTTCTTGGGTATTTCCACATCTACATCTTGGTCCTTCCTCAGTCATGTCTTGCTGCAATTCTACCCTACCCTTCCAGGCTGGACCTAAATGCCACCTACTCTAAAGAAGGATTCATCAATGCCCCACCCCACTCAATAGTGCCCTAAAATTGCGTCCCCTCCTCTGCAAGCCCCCAGCACTTGGCACCTGCACCTCATTCTCACTTCAGCCCCTCTCTTCGACTGCAGATGGTATGAGGTCTCGTCTTTCCTCCTGGGCTAACTGACTACACTGGCTTCCTTACCATGACCCCTCCACACATGCTCGGTGCTCAGCCGAGGCAAGGCAGCAATCAGAACAGACCTCCCAAAACGTCAGGAGAAACAGGTACAGCAGCACCATTTTTACTGCTCCCAACAGAACTCTCTACCACAGAGCTTGCATGGCCTCTTAGGGTGACATGACTTAAGAAGGCCTCAAGGTTCTAGCCTGAGAAACTAAAGCTGTAAAAGAACTTCTCCAGGTCTACAGAACATCCAATTGAGCTAAGAGCAGAAGACAAACATCTGGCCTCAGATGCCACCCCACCCTCACCGTTTGGCCGAGGTCCCCCGGCTCAGACTGCTGATCTCCCTCTGGTCAGGTGAAAACAGGTTGTACGGAGAGCTGTTCCTTCCTTAAGGACTGAGAAGCCCGGCCTTGGGGCCCATGGAGGAGTGCATATATGTCAGTACATCCTCTTGAGAGGGCTTTCTGGCAGTGTCAAGAGCCACATGAAAAACCAGTGCCTACACAGAGACCTAGCATTTCCTACTAAGAGTTTTTCCTAAGGAGATAATGGTTTAAGTACATAAAGATGTGTGTATAAGGATGCCTGCCACAGCATTGCTTATAATAATGAAAAAATAGTAAATAACTTAATAGGGTTAAATGAATTATGGTACTTTTCACTTGAGGGAATCCTACGCAGAATTTACAAATAAAGAATATAAGCTCTATACTGCTTGAAAAGAAAAAGTAATGATAACATGATAAAAGGCAAGGCAGGTTACAAAACTATGAACATACCACCCTCTTATTCAATTTATCTGTATATGTATGATTACATAAACACACACGCATAGGAAAAAACAAAAGGCAATACATCAAAATGTTAGTCATAGAATTACGGGCAATTTAAATAGCTTTCTTTAGATTATCTCATTTATAATTAAAACAACACAATTGTATACGTTTCTCTTTTGGTCACGAGTCTGTCTTTCGAGGCTTGTGAAAATCTTCTATTAATCTCTGATTAGTGACTGCTCTTACCTGTTACAGAACCTCCTTCACTGAGGGAAGTGCCAACTTGACAGGCTGCTTTACCACTCCTTTTACTTTTTATTTTTGGCCAAATCCCATGTGCATAGACTGCACTTAACAACTGCAATGTTAACAATCATTTTGTTTGGCCAGAGTTTTACACTTATTTACTTACACACACACACACACACACACACACAGAGCTCCCCCATCCTCGGAAAAGGAGGCCAGCACCTCTCAGGACCTGCACCACTCACCTGTAGCAATTCCATCAAAGAGAGATAGCACCCGAATGGGCTTCCTCTTCTCAGCTGGTACAGGTGGGTAAACCTTCGGAGGATCCTAAGCAGTAAGCATAACAGGCCAGGTAAATGCCCAGGAGTGTCCCACAGATCCTCACCCAGGGCTGGCCCTCCCAGCCAACTATGGGAGCACGAGGCTTTCTAGACCCGCGCGGCTCAGGCACTCTGCCCACGGCCCAGGCCTCGTGAGCAACGGTAGCGCGAGGCCACGCCCTAGGCCCGGCACTCACAAATTCCTGGTCATGGTTATTGGCGAAGAACATCTGGAGCCGAGAGGGCCAGTCGTCCCGCCGCCGCAGCAGCCCATAAGTGCCCTTGTGCCCGCACATGTAACAGTTCCAGGGGTCTTCCTTAATGGCCGCCTGGGCAGCCCCTGGCCCCACCAAGAGATCCACACACTCCACGCAAAAGCACCTAGAAGGAAGCGCAGTGAGCAGGGGGAACTCTCAGCCCCCACCCAGGGAGGCCAAGGTGTGCCACCTGGAATGGAAGCACTTAATCCAGAGCATAGCAGGGAGCAGGCGGGAAAGCCAGGTCCCAGGCAAGGAGGGAGGGGACCCTCACCTGCAGCAGTTGTTGTTCCCACACATGAGCACCTCACGCCCCCCACAGCAGATGGTGCAGTAGGACTGATAGCCGTCGTCGTCGTACTGGTACGCACACTCCAGGAAGCAGTTCTGGAGAGCAGCACGGAGGGTCAGAGACCACCAGAGTGGGACCCAGGGCAGCCAGGGTAAAGGCAAGCTACGAACCCGGCCTCTTGGAATCTTGACTCAGCCCTGGAGACATGACCCTGCTACCTGACCAGCCAGGGTCAGACCCAAACCACAGATCTGGGAAGGGGACACCTTATCAGGAACCAAAGAGGTGCCAAGAGCAAGGCCAGGGAGGGAGCTGCACCCCCACCATGTCTTCCCTGCAACCCTGGGCTCCCGATGGCACAGCAACCCACCCCCTTCATGCTGGTGACACTGAGAGCCCTGCCCACACGTGGGGACTAGAATGAGCATTAGGGAGGAAAATAATCTTTCAGAGTAGAAAAATAAGAGCAGGCCAAAAGCTTGAAGCCCAAGGGCCCATTTTATTGGGACTCTCTGCTTCCAGAGTAAACCTTGAAGTCTACATCACACCCTCTAAGGTGCCAACCCCTCCAAGCCCACAGGGGCGGGAGGCACAGTCAGCCAGGGGGCCGAGGGCCACCCTCAGCTGCACCTTCCCAGGGGGTGCGCCCCTACCTTGCAGTTTTGGCACATCCCTCCGATGAAGAGAGGGTGCTCCAGGGTGACGTTAAGGCTGCCACAAGAGATACAAATGTCTGGAAAGCAGAGCAAGTGGAGCAAGCGTCACCAAGGGCCCCCCGCCCTGGGCCAAAGCCCCGTACCAGAAAAGCTGCAAGAAAGGGGTGTGCTGGACAAGCAGCCAAAGAGAAGTCAGAAGGGAGCCCAGTAGGGCACCCCATGGAAAAGGGAGGCACCACGGCTGGCCATCTCAAAAGCCCATTCATTGCTTAGAGAAACAATGCCACCATGTGGGAGCAGAAACCCACTCCTGAGAACAGGGGCCTGGCTCTGCAGGTGTTCCTGGGGATGTCCTGGCCCCCGGTCCCTTGACCCCAGTCCTCCCAGGCCCTGAAGGCACCAAGCCAGACCATCAGCATTAGGCCAAAGAGGCAGACAAGGGATGAGAGAAGGTGAGGAATGGTCAAAGGCCAAAAGAGCATCTTCAGGCAAGTTTAATCAAATCCTTTTTTTTTTTTCGTGACCAGCAACGGGATCGCAACCCTCGGTGTTGCGCCCGCACCTCGCTCAGCCAGTGAGCGGCTGGTCTGTACGTGGGATCCGAACCCTCGGCGGGAGCGCTGCTGCGCTCCCAAGCGGCGCACTGTAGCAGTGCACCACCGGGCCGGCCCCGTTTAATCAAATCCAAGAGGGGCCACCCTTCCCCGACCCACTGGGGTGTCCCAAACCCTAAAGATCAATCAGCCCATGCCACTGATGGGAAAGCAGAATCATGGCACCATGAAATGGACAGTTCACGAAGCAGGTGGTGGGACACACAGGACAGACCCCATCACTGAGTGTCAATGTCACAGGGCCCCGATCCCGTTATTCAGACCTTCCCAAGAACCAATGCTATGCTGCACCCTCACCACACCAGGAGCTAGGTCTCCTGCCTGTCCTAGCAGCACCAGGCCCCCAGGCTGACTCACCCTCGATGTTGCGGCACTTCTGCCGCACCTCGTACACCAGCCGCTCTGCAGAGGGGAGGAGAGCCAGCATCAGAGGAGGCCACCAGGGCCACAGCCCTCCTTGGAAGGCCAGCCTCCCGGCCCCATGCTCCAGAGCCAGGCCAACTACCTCTTGTGCGTTCATCAATAATCTCCTTGACCTTAGGCTTCTCCGTTGTGCTCTTTCGGGGCTTTTTGGCTGGTGGGGGTGGTGCATAGGCAGCTGCCTCGGGCTCAACCCACATGTCTGTGTAAACTTCTTTGTAGGGATTCTTCTCCTCTGGATCAAGAAAAGCAGGTAACAAGATCACAGTAAAGAGGCTGACAGGGAACTCTAGCTCCCACCCCTCCTCTGCTCTACCTACACTGGGTTGCAGCTTGGTCCCCAACTTGTTCCTGCCTCCCCACTCTCTGGTTCCAGCAAGCCAATGGAGAGCCCATCATTCTGAAGTACCATCTCCTCCCACATCTGCTCAACACCATAGGGAACTCGGTAAGAGGCTGCCTGTCCCCATGCTCAGACGCCATTCTGGATCTGATGGATTACATCCAATGTAGTAGTTACCAGATTCGGCCCCTTCTATGTGTACCTTTCAGGTCTGTAAATACATTTACTCTTTCAGTTATTTACTGAGCACACACTGTAGACCAGGCACTCTCTCTGCCATCCCACCAACAAGTTAATAATCCAAACCCCAGTTATTCTCCCATTGAACAGCCTCCAGCCTTTCACCGCATCACACTCGTCTTTCAGGCTACGATCCACGCGCCCATTCCTTCTCAAAACCTGCTCCAGGAGCCCTACAAAGGAGAATGAAATCCTTGATACTCAGCTCTGAGAACCAGTCAAGCTCATCGCACCCCCGCTACTGAATCTAGGACACCCAGCCCTCACACTTCAAGGCTCTGCACCCATTTCCACCATACTGGATTCAGAGAAAAACCCCATTTTCAACATGCAGCTTTCCCCAAGAACCTACAGCTATGAATGCAAACCCGTCCTCAAAATTAAAAAAGAGTATCAGAAAGCAACTTGGAGTGTAAGGAAGAGCTCTAAACTGGAAGTCAGAGCATCTACATTCCTGTCTTAGCCTCGCAACTAATTAGTAGCTGATTTTGGAGCAGTCCCTTTGCATTGGAGTTGCTCCAGACTTAAAAAGGCATTTGAACCGAAGGATTTATGGTAACCTTTTCTGACCTGTTTAAGAATCCGTATCAAAGATTCCAAGGACTCTCCCAAAGCCTATCAATGAGCCCCCAAACCCAAGGTCCCAGGTTGAGAACCTTTGTTTAAGCTCAACAGTCTATGTACTGTCTTGCAGATTGATTTTATTTCATTCAATCTTGAAGTCTTTGACTCTAGCAACAGACCAAATCTGTTTCTTGTGGTGATTCCTAAAACACTGAGGATGTTAGTCCCGGTTCTTCCTCTGACTCAACAAACTCTAAAATGAGATAACGCATCCTTTGCCCCCAGCCCACAAGCAGCTGGGAAAATGAGCTCACGGGCGCGGGGGGTTGAGAACGCAGAGTAATTGCTCATCCCTCCCTCTGCCGCCTCGCCTCTCACCTGCTCGGGACTTTGCACTCCCCTTCCCGCTATCAATCAGCTATCACCTCCTTCCCCACAAGAAGGTGCACCAAGGCATGGTCTCTGGCTAGTGGGGGAAGGGGACTCTTCTCGGGGAGCCACCTTCTCTCGAGGGATCCTCAGCTGCGCCAGTTACACTCACAGATAAGCCCCGGCCTGGCCATCTGCTCCCTTCCACCATGCCCCCTCAAACTTCAGGCGTGGATGACTGGCCTAGATTAGGGTGCTGCCCTGGATAACCCAAAGACCCTGTCTCCCAGCGTGATGAGGCCCCTCAGCCAGTACAAGGTGTGCAGGTGGCAGAGGGCAGGAAAGGGCACTTCCACAGCAAGCAGCAGCCGGTGGGCACGGGCTCCCCAGGTCCAGGAGGGAGTCGTGGCTGACACCACCCTCCTTACTTCTCCCACGGCCCCTTCATCTCTCTTCTCAACCCCTCCACAGCGAGTTCCTGAAAATTCTTCTTCCCCCACAACTTCCCCCCGCTTGTCAGATGCTGCTACTGATAGCTGCTCAGCATCCCGGCCCGCTCGGTGCAGGAGAACAGGCACCCGGCACTGGCAGCGAAGGAAGGGGCCTCCATCAGGAGGAGGGCCGCGGGGGTGGGGAAGGAAGGTGGGGGTGGGCTAGCAGCAGGAGGCCAGAGGAAAGGGGAAGAAGGGCAGAGCCGGTGGCTGGTGGGGGAGGGGCCTCATTAGAATAGTCTGCCCAGGGCAGTTGGGGAAAGCACCCTCCTCCCCCGGCAAACAATAGGAGAAAGTAGGGTTAACTCAGGGTTCTTGCATTTGGGCTGATGGCTCCTCACCCCCAGAGGGGCCGAGAGATTGGGCAGGGTCCCTGAGGGACACCACATCGCCCCCTGCTACCACTTGGCCTGGAGTCTGTCCGGCCTGGGAAAGCCACTTGTAACTTGGCTGACTACTGCCTCCCCGTCCAGTTCAGTCTCCTCAGCGGCTGTCCCGCTCCGCCTCCCTGCAACTCAGGAGCTTCCCGTTCCAAAGGTCACAGGTCTAAGGGCCACCGCCCCCAAGCCCATGCGGCCTTGGGCTGTCTCAGTGTCCCAGGCTGGTGTCAGGCTGCCCCCCTGCTACCCCCTGTCCAGGTCGTACTGCTGTCTCCCACCGCCCGCCACTTCTTTCTGGCTGCCTGCCAGGTGGCTCCTAGGAACTCGCGGGAGAGGAAGCTGTCCCTCTCAAGAGGCCGAAAGCTGGCAGGGCCCTGAGGACAGCGTGGTTCCCCAGCCAGGAACACAGAGCAACAAGGAAGTGCCATGCACCCATCTGCCAGCAGCGCAGCCAAAGCCATTTCCCACCCAACTCCTGGCCCACCGGCCACCCTGGGCCCGGCTGCCTGCTCCCCAGGCTGCAGTTACCACTGCCCAGGCTGGGCGCTCTTGCCGTCCCCTGAGGGCGCCAGGTGCCACTGGAGCCCTGTGAGGAGTGGGGCCCTGAGGCTCCTGCGCAGGGAGTAGGTGGGACAGCACTAAGTCACATCTCCAGCACTCAGGCCAGGCAGGGCCGCTGCAGCTCCTGCGGGCCGGGGAGGCATACTTGACTCTTTTCAAACCCAGAGGGCTGCGGAGATCCTCCCACCGGCGGCCGCCTCCCCGCCCCCGGTCTCCCCAGGGCTCCGTCCAGGAACCTACCCATCAGGCCAGGTGCAGCCCCTCTGCGGTCCGGCTCAGGTGTGAGCCCCAGCCCTGACGCTCTGTAAGT